GTTGTTTTGTTGTCAATTATATCGTTCATGTTGTTTTGTTGTCAATTACATCGTTCATGTTGTTTTGTTGTCAATTATATCGTTCATGTAGTTTTGTTGTCAGTTATATCGTTCATGTAGTTGTGTTGTCAATTATATCGTTCACGTTGTTTTGTTGTCAATTATATCGTTCATGTTGCTTTGTTGTCAATTATATCGTTCATGTAGTTGTGTTGTCAGTTATATCGTTCATGTTGTCTTGGTGTCAATTATATCGTTCATGTTATTTTGTTGTCAATTATATCGTTCATGTTGTCAATTGTTGTCAGTTATATCGTTCATGTTGTCTTGGTGTCAATTATATCGGTTTTGTTGTCAGTTATATCGTTCATGTAGTTGTGTTGTCAATTATATCGTTCACGTTATTTTGTTGTCAATTATATCGTTCATGTTATCTTGTTGTCAATTATACTGTTTATATTGTCTTTCTGCTTTCTGCGTTTTTGTCTTTTTTTGTGTCTCTTGTACTTTTCATATTCCACACCATGATAAACAAATAAAATTTAAATCATCAAAAAAATCTAATAAAAATCTTTTTAGCCTTAATTCTCCTTAAATGCATTTTATTTAAAAATGTGAAACCTATCTTTGATGCATCTCTCTAATTAGTCCAGCTTTGTGTTTGTTATTTTATAATGGGAGGAAGGTGTAGGGGGGTTGAATGAGGAGGAGGGGGGGGGGGGGGTAAAATCTCGTGACGGATATATATTGGAAAAATGAACTTGAAGCTTAATGCCTTAGATTGTAGATAATCGTAAACACAGTTACATTAATTGTAGATAATCGTAAACACAGTTACATTGATTGTAGATAATCGAAAACACAGTTACATTAATTGTAGATAATCGTAAACACAGTTACATTGATTGTAGATAAACGTAATCACAGTTACATAATTGTAGATAATCGTAAACACAGTTACATTAATTGTAGATAATCGGGAACACAGTTACATTCATTGTAAATAATCGGGAACACAGTTACATTAATTGTAGATAACCGTAAACACAGTTACATTAATTGTATAAAACCGTGAACACAGATGCATAAATTCTATATAATCGGTAATAGAGTTACATAACTTATAGATAATCGGTAACGCAGTTACATACATTCTAGATAATCGACGTCAACACAGATAAATAAATTAACGATAATCTTGAGCACAGCTACAATAATTCGTTAACATAGTCACATAAATTCTAGATAATCGGTAACACAGTTACATTAATTGTAGATAATCGGTTGCACAGTTACATAAATTGTACATAACCGGTAACACAGCCACATAAATTCTAAACAATTGGTAACACAGTTACCCAAATTGTAGATAATAGGTAACATAGTTACATAAATTGTAGATAATCGGTAACAAAGTTACATAAATTCTAGATAATCGTGAACACAGTTACATAAATTCTAGATAATCGGTAACATAGTTACAAAAATTCTAAAATCGGTTACACAGTTACATAAATTCTAGATAATCATGAACACAGCTACATAAGTTCAAAATATTCAGAAACACAGTTACATAAATTCTAGATAATCGTCAACACAGTTACATAAATTATAGATAACGTTAACATAGTTACATAAATTGTAGATAATTGTGAACACAGTTACATTAATTGTAGATAATAGGTAACATAGTTACATAAATTGTAGATAATTGGTAACACAGTTATATAAATTCTAGATAGCCGTGAACACAGTTACATAAATTCTAGATATTCAGTAACACAGTCACATAAATTATAGTTACCTAAATTTTAGAACATATAAATTCTAGATAATCTTAAACACAGGTACATAAATTCTAGATAATCTTGAACACAGTTACAAAAATTCTAGATAATCAGTAACACAGTTAAATAAATTGTAAATAAATGGTAATAAAGTTACATAAATTGTAGATAATCGTGAACACTGCAACATAAATTCTAGATAATTGCAAGCACAGTTGCATGTATTTGAGATAATCATGAACACAGTTACATTAATTTTATTTAATCGTGAACAAAGTTTAATAAATTATAGATAATCGTGAACACAGTTACATAAGCTCTAGTTAATCATCAACACAGCTACGTAAATCGTGTGATATAGATAAGGACGGAGGATTTTTGATTACATCTATTAACTTTAACTTGTAACATATAAACTTCAAATATATCAGTTGATATAGAGACTCTGCTTTAATTACTGCGAGAGAATAATCGTGTCCTTATTCTAAACAAATGAGTGGAAGATTGTGTCTTAGTTGAGACATTGATAG